ACAATGTTATCAACGGATTCTCCAAGCAAACGAAGATAAACACGGTTGAGGGTCTGTGGAGAAGCAATTGCTGCAGAACACAGAAGGCTGTTCTGCAGCAGTTGCATTGTTATATGGATAGATTCGCCACAAACATAATTTGAATCAAGTGGCTTATCCTCGAAGTCACTTTCCTCTTAATTGTCAAAAAATTGTTGTCTAAGGGCAAATCTTCAGAGGCCTTTGCATGAGCCATTTTATTTTTTTGTCAGCCATAATTATTGACGGTACCTTTCGGGACTTTGACAAAATGGTAATTTTCTTGTTAGAAAAATTATTATCTGTATGATACTTTTATACAAACTTATTCGATATGAACATCACCACCTGTGTAAAACAAAAAACAACTGTAGGGGAACATAAAATGATTGTAATTGTGAAAAAAAAAAACGCCCTAACACTTCTTTCACACATACGGTTTTCTAACGGTAACCGTGCCGTAGCCGTGCCGTAATTTCATTTGCTTTGCGTTCACACAGCACACGGTTTTTCACTTCGCCTTTAGTTTTGTTTTGATACGTGACCAAAATGGACGAAAGAAAAAAACGCATGTTGTTAATAATGATATTGCATATTATTTTTAACATTATTTTTTCTATTGGCGATGCAAAGATTCTAACTAGCGCCTCAAGTGTCAAAATTGTGAAGCTGTCTAAGAACCACTCTTTGACAGTTTTCGATACAATTTACGTCACGGAAAAATTTATTTCAATTAGATTTATGTGGTTTCTTGCGGGATGAGAAATAATTATGTTGTCAATATAGATTCTTTGTCACAAAGAAGGTCAGCTATACTCCAATCTTCTTGAGGACGATAATTTCTGTAATCCAATAAATTAACTTGTGTCGATGAAGTCAAGACATAATGATGACTGTTGTCATCAGTGATATCATTGTCCTCAATTCCATTCTCAACATCAATTTTTTTATTCTCGATAGCCAGTCCGAGATCTTTCTTTGATGCAACTATTTTCCTGTGTCTGATATCAGCCCTATTTTCTCGAGCAGTTGATTTTATTTTTCGGGCTAGTGGTACTTCTTTATCAGAGCTTCTTTGAGGAATATTCTGAGACGGTACAACATTAGGAAACAACTTCTGTCTTTTAGAATCTAGAACAATAAACATAATCTCGTTACATGACGAGCAACTCACCTTAGCCTAAACTAAATAAATAACTTATAAAATACGTGTGAATATAATGTAAGTACAATCAAATAATTAAAACATAATTATAATTACTGTTTGGAAAATAGTTTAAAGCTTGAAAATGATGAGAACAAATCGGCTTGCCTATTCTTTTTTTCTCCATAATTTTGTCTTTTGGAAACAAATGAAAACTTATTCCCTAATCTCCGTAAGTACCTACTACATTGAGGAACGCAACAAAATTTGTATTTCTACTTTATTAGCAACAGGTTTCTGTGTGTAATCGTGATCCTTCTGATTATGTCTAAACTTTACCTCCACTTTATACCAAAAAGTGTCGTTCTTAGACAACTTCTAAATTTCGCCACCAGAGGTGCGCGTATAATCTTTGCATCGCCAATTCAGTTTACACATCAATCAAAGTATCTACAACCAACTGTTTCAACTCATCACTACCGCGGTTTCTTCTCCAATCACTCTAAAACACTTTGTATTCTAAATGCCACTCCACACCATAGTCAATACCTTCGACAGCCCTCTCTACATTCCCACATCTTAATTTTGCCCACGCATCTGTATTCTTCTTTTTTCTGACTATCTGGTTCATATATTTTGCCTCATAACTCCGACGCCAAATCTTTCTTGAATGAAGTATTAATAACACTGGTCAACACTGAAGAATTTTCCAGAGATCTTTTTTTTGTTTTCAGTAAAATGAAGTGTGCTGATCACGAAAATACCATTGGTTTCTTTTTAGCAGCTCCAGTTTTCATTTTACACCCAAGTTAAAAATTTTTACAAAAACATGATTTTTTACGTACTTTATTTAGAAAAGCTACTGTGGTTGAAGAAAAAAATGTCTTTTATTAGATTTTCTTGAATGCTGTGCCTGTATAAGATCCCGACAATGATTCCAGCAGTAATCGGCCATCATATGTATGTCCCATCTGCCTTGGTAACGTTCTTCCACAGTGCGAATATCCTGGTGAAATCTTTCACCTTGCTCTTCACTATAATTTCCAAGGTTATCAGGAAATCGATCTAAATGAGAATGTAAATAATGCAGTTTAATGATCATGTTACATCCTAAATCTTTCAAATTAGACAACATATCATTAATTAATTGGAAATAGTTATCTGATTAGAATCATCAACACGTTATTGTTTTTAGTCAACGGAAAGCCAACGCGGCACACACTTTGAACAGAGCTTTCTCATAGTCAAATGCCCATGCAATATGAAGTCAACACGTTCTTTTGATATCTCTACGATGTTAGCCAACTCAGGCTACTTTACTTTTCGATCGTTTAAAACGATTTTGTGGATTTTTTTGATGTTTTCTGGTGTTACCGCCTCATTTGGACGTCCAGTGCGTTCTGCATCATTGGTGTCTCTACGACCACGTTTGAAGTTAGTAAACCAACGTTTTATTGTTGTTTCTGATGGAGCGGAGTCCTTATAGTATTTTTCAAGTCATTTCTTCGCTTGAACGGTATTTCTTCCTATCAAGAAGCACTGTAAAATTAAAACACGAAATTGTTTTTGATCCATTGTTTTGAAAATAACAAACGTAGTGTCACTCTTAACACAATAACTTACAAACTTATGAGTAGAATGTCATGAAATTTTAACAACTTTCGTTTGAAGGTTAGTACTAACTGACATAGCGGTGAATGCAATAGAACTATCGCCATCTGTGTGTTAGGCCCGGGACTTTTAAGCCTGTGTTAGTAAAAGTCATGAATGTTTTTTCTTGAAGTACCGTACCACAACTGATTTAACAACTTTTTCATAACCTTTTTTGCGACAACTTTATTGTTTTTCTGGTATTTCTTTAAATTTCTTGTGAGCATGTTGCATAGTGGACGCACACTCCCTGACCAAATTATTACTAACTCCAAGAATTCTATGTAGTCATCTCTAGGCCAATTTTCTAAAAATTTCTCCTCATCAGTATCTCCTGTGAGTTCTTCATGAACTACAAAGTTTTTCATATCCAAATTTAACCACTGAATTTTTAACATTTTTAATGAAGGTAAATCTGGACCTGTCATTAAACTAATTTTTAGTTCTTGAAAAGCTACATATACCTGTCGTCTCTGTATGCGGTTCTTTAAATATGGTGCTGATAGATCTACGAATTCTTACCGAACATTAAGTATTTTAAGGAATTATTATTCATATTTCTGAGTGATAGGGATGAAACGATACCATTGAGGTATCGGTACTTTTACTCGATACTGTATCGGTCGTCAAGTATCGATACTTGGTATCAATTGAAAATTATCGATATTTACTCGTATCGAATAGTTTTTGGAAAATTTTAAGTTAAAACCAAAAGAAGTGTTAAAATTCTTTATTAATAATTATAAAATTTACGAAAAGAAGTCTGTTTTTGAAGCGCCTCTTAAAAATATCAATTTTTCTAAATGTTTGTCTGTTAAGCGATTTCTTGAGGTAGTTATTGTTGCGCCAGCTTTGGAAAAGAGCCTTTGGCAACATACAGAGGTACCTACTATGTTTAAATAAATGCGTGCTTGTTTATATAACGTTGGGAATACGGGCTTTAAATCTTCCCATTCCTCCAATGGGTTAGATTTTAAAGCGCAGACTGGATTAGCCAAATAAACTGACACTTCATCGGCTTTCGAGGAACGCTTTCGGTTCTGGCCAACTGCGAGTTGTTTGTGAAATCAAATCAAAATCTTCGTTCGCTGTTTCATCTTCAGATCCACTGGTTGACATTGTTATATTTTCTTTAATCATGTTTTTCAATTTTTGTATTGCCTTCCCGCACGTACTTGCGTCTTGGACATGGAGGTTTTTGAACCATTGATCTAACATTGTTGCCAACACTGCAAGTGTATTAAATTCAATGAAACCAAATCTTTTCTTACAGTCAGCTAGGAGTTTTGCAACTGTGTAACACATTGATGATGAAAAGTTCGTTAGCTGCGATGTGAGACAATTTATCATGGATTTTGGATATGGCAACGTAATTCTGGCCTGATGATTCTCTTTTAATAAATTCGAAAGGTTGTAACAATGGTACCAACTGTTTTAATATTTCAATAAAAAGCGAAAAATGGATGCGTTCAAAAACTTTGATTCAAGATAAACATTTCCATAATCAATGCTAAAATGAAACATTGACTTTGGCATATACTGATATGAGTACTTTTAACCGATACCTACTCGATACTTAATTTTAAAGTATCGATACTAAAAATACTTCGTATGGGAGAAAAGTATCGAGTATGTACTTGTATTATCCCTACTGAGTGGCACGGTTCAGATTTAGAGTCGCCCCACGAGGGTGCATGTATTCTCTCAATATTAGGAACAAAATTATGGGGTGCTGAAAAGGAAACTACAAGTTTGCTTATAAAAAGAAGACCACAGTAATACTGAAAAGTAAAAATTGAGAGAATTTTTAAAAGTAGGCGGCTCCTATCTTTCCGACCCCGGTGAGCCACCACTTAGACCTTTTCGATTTTATTTGGTCTTGCCTGGTGTTTAACATATTTCAATGTTTTCATTCATTTTTCAATAACACATTTTTTCGGCGTTACTCCTTGGTGTTTTTTACAGAATTATCAGGAATGATTCGATAGTGCTAATACCCTCTGTATCGATAGGTTATCTTATCTGTTGTGTTTGAATAATAGGAATATTTTAATTTTAATTCGCTTTTATTATTTTTCAATATAACATTATTAGTGTGTCAAAAATGTTTTTTGAAGCAACACCTATTCAAAAGGTGTAAGTGAAGATATATTTACTTTCCTAAAAAGAACTAAACTTTTTGTTTCAGATTTTGGTCACAAAATCGCAAGAAGAAGAAGGAGTCAATGGTGTGACGAAACGAACATTCGTGGTGAGTTATAATTATCACACATTATACACAACTATAATAATTCCCCTCTCCGAGTGTAATGGCCTCATTTTACACAAAAATTTGTTCGAGAATCCCATTATAATTGAACACTCCTATTTGATACTAAGGACGTTAGGGATGATACGACATTAAAATTAATAATTTTGAAAGTATATCCTCATTTATTTACGTATGTTTTGTTACACACACCAAACCACTCTTCAGGGGCTTCTTCGCCACCTTGAAACAACTTATCAAATTTATTTAGTGCGTCTTGATTCTTCATTGGATGCAAAAATTGCAAATCCAAAACAAACAATATATAGTATTAGGAGGGAGAAGGAAAGTAGAAAGGTTCTTGTATTTTCTGGTTTGTGCCTTGTAAATTGATAGGGGATGCTTTGTATTCATTACAGTCATAGTTGTTGCTAGTGGATTTGGATCTTTCAACCATTTGGATGACTGTTCTATCAATTTGAGATTAAACATCTTTGCTTTTCTTAAAAAAAAAAAAAACAATCTTAAATGGCAAGTGTCGTGCCTGTCTACTAGTATTTTTCTATTGGTTCTACTTTTCGTCAAATTGGACCCTTTTTAATGCAATATCTTCCTTATAATCGTAGCTGAGTCTTCATATCTACCCGCCGCTTCTTGATTTTTACGATGCATCCATTTCAATGTCTAAACCATTTTCTAGGATATTCTAATGTTCGTGGGTTTAACAAAACTTCTTCTAAGACTGATAACGACAAAATTATTTATTTACACTAATTATTAAAGAACTTAAAACACTATTAAATTATTACTAAACTTAGATGATGACTTATTNCCAAATAAATGGAAGGGGGTGGGGGAGGCACCTCACTCCCCGGCAATACAATGCAGTAAGTCTAAAAGATCAGGAGTATAAATTAAAAAAGTGACTCAATACAAAATGAATAAAAAATTTAAAAAAAAATCAGAAATAAATGAACTTACGGGCCAATCTGCGGGAAGGCGCCCTCGCACCCAGTCGGATAGATTCATTTTTGCTCGAAGCGATCCTTCGTTGGAGCTTTTATTTTGGCGATGTATGATCTCGTGAGAAAAAACTAAGATAGGGCGAGACAGGTTGATTTGTATACTTTCGTTGATTGAAAAGTAGACACGTAAATAAGCGATATACGTTTTAATATGTATGAGCAACAGTTTATTTGATAGACATATTATTCCTAGATGCGAATACAATGTATGATATCGCTGGAAGAAACAAAGGTACTTTGTTTTGTACACTGTCTTTGATTGAAAAAGTAAACATGTAAGCGATATACATATAATATACATTGCATTTCCTTTAAAAAAAATGATAAGTACAATAATACTTACACTATAAGATAATACAAAGTAAGATGTTGCGTGAGAACATTATAAAAATAAATCATAAGGGATTTTAACGAATAATGCCCCCAAGGTAACATAGCTATTTTATTATCTTTAATAAAGCGTTTATTGTAATTTGACGATAAACTTAATTTATTGATAGTATAACTGAAATTTTGATGATTTTGCGAACGTATCCCTGAGAATTCGGAAAAACAAATTTCATTATCAAACAGACATCGTTGGAAATCTTCGAATGTCAACTTTCGTTTGGCGCTTAGCGAAACTCCTTTTACTTTCGCAGTTCTTTCTCTACCATCGACTTTCATAATATACATTTTGGGTCTGAGACTTATCAACTCGGTTAAAATTTGGGATTTTAATTCATCATTCATTAAACCAGGAACTTTTTTATTGACCCGCGGTATACACCATTTATTGTGAATAGGATAATCGTTCGTGTCGAAATGTGATGCTGCGTCTTCGCGTATAATGTCGTAAATAGAGGTGTTACTATTACTGTCGGTTCGCGTAAATTGGTAAATTAAGGAATCCGTATCCATGTAAAGAAGTTGTGGATGAAAGTGAGGAGAAATCCTACTTTGAAAATAAGCATGATGAAAATTATACATTTTTAATTTTGACAATTCTAATATGGTGAAGCCGAGAAATAAGGGCTTATTCATTTTGAAAGATATGTAAGGTCCTTTCTTTCTTTTTGGAGCCGGCTCGGTAACCTCTTCTTGCGACTCGTTGTCAATTTCAGAAGCTGTGTGTTCATCATTCGATCCGTCGACTAAAGTGAATAAAATAAAACTTTGAACCATATTTTTCTGTTATATGTAGTATCTCTTTTGTTTTTGGTTGAGACACTAATGTATAAAATTGGTTTTGATGAGAGAACAAGCGTCTTAACCGAAGGAGCTTTTCTTCAAATTCTTCCAAATTCTGTACGCTTCGTAATGTTCCTTCTTGTCAAGGCTTTTTGACACTTCCTTCGGCAAAGATCCGTGCTTCATTCGTAAAAACTACCATTCTATTGGAAGTTACCGGTTTTTTTCTATATTGTTTTTTTTACACGGAATTCTCTTTTACCAGCAATACTTATTTTTTCCATTAGCAGTCGTCTGTTGCAATCTTTCTTCTGTTGAAGTCCTGTGTTGAATATCACCCTACGTAACGAAGAAACTGAAATCTGGAGAATTTCTTTGTTTTTAACTATGTAGTGTTGCCCAAACGCAAGAACAAGACGAGACTTAGCCAGTCTTGGTCTTGGTCTTGCGCCAATACACCTGGTCTTGGTCTTGGTCTTGGTCTTGCGCTCCCAGTCTTGGTCTTGGTCTTGGTCTTGCAGCAAGAGTCTTGCAAGTCTTGCAATTACCTATTAGTCTATTACTATTTATTAAAGTTTACTTTAAATCCTAGAAAAACGTATTAGAATTGGAACATTGTGAGCTTGAATGAATATAGCCATAGTAAAGATCAAGCAGATTAATAAATAACTGAAGATTTGATAAGAAATTCGAAAAATCAACTGACCTATATGTCGTTTTCCATGGAAGTAACTGTTTCTTAATAAACATTTATGATCCTTGCTTTCTACCGCGCCGCCTCGCCACGTGCCGGCTCTATGATAAGGATGCCGCCGCAAATCAAACAATAATATAAAGCGTGTAAAAAAATTCGAAATTATTTTGCATGAGTATACCTACACCCTATGGCGGCAATCAAATAGTGTCAAATGTTATGATTTCGGCGTGGCGGCAACGATTGTTTTAGATTTCAAAAGAAGCCGCCGGCGCGTGTATCATAACCATGTACTTCCGAAAAGCGGCAAATTTCTTTGAGAAGTAAGTACAAAACCTTTGATGCCGCATTATCAAAGTGCCGATGGTTAAAACATAACTATGCATGCACTCAGTTTGATTTTAATAATTTTTTTATTCGCTATGTTTATGGTATTAGTCGTAATGCGCATAGGTCCA